CCCCCCCAGCCGATCCATCGGTGAAAATTGTCACATCCGCACCAACCTCTTTGATCACATCCTTTGCTGCTTCACGTGCCTTTACAGGATCATCACCTTTTCCTTTTACTCCTCTCAGTTCTGTCCGAATTTCTATTTCACCATGGGTCTCCCATGGACAAGCTCTCACCAGATTGATCGGCCATCGATTCTCTGCTTCTGGGGGGAGGTGGTCTGCTTGATCGGTGCCCATTCGAAACCAACTTTTCCTGCTGTTTTGGGGCTTGACTGTTTGATCAAGGGCTTTCTTTCTAGGATAGTTGTCTGGTAATCTCTTAGCCATCTCTACAGACTTGAGGCATGTTCTTTTTGCATAGGTGGTGTAGTGTTCAGTTCTGGTCTCATAGCGCAGCGCTTCTGTTGGTTTTGTTTTCAGCTGACCTGACACAAGTCGGAGGGCTTTCTTTTGTATTCTGTCCAGGGCCTTTGCACTAGTGTTACTCAGCCAAGGCTACCACACCGGGGCAGCATAATCCATCTTGCTTTTCACAAACATCTGATATACTTTCTTGAGCGACTCCTTACCCCAGCCCCATTTTGAGTTGCTGACAGTACCGATAACCTTCATTTTTGAGATTGCACTTTTGGACACTTCCTCAATGTGCATGTTGAAGGTTAGCTGTCTATCCAGGTAGACGCCCAGCAGGCGTGGAGTCGGGTTGAATGTTATTTTTTCCCTTCGAACTGAATTATTGGTTGCCACGTTGCCTCCTTCACCCATGTTGAGAAGAAGCACACTTCACTCATGGTTGCTTTCAAGGTAAGCTTCCAGTCATTGCTCCATTTCACAATCATGTCCACAATCAACTGAACTGTGTCGCTTCATTTGCCTTTTCTCTCTTTGCGTGACTGGCCAATATTGTGCAGTGATGATGATGATGATGATGATGATGATGATGATGATGATGATGATGATGATGATGATGATCAGAGCAAAATGTACGAAAAGAAAAAAAAGAAAAAAAAGAAAAAAAAAGTCTGTTTTTGTAAGAGAAGCACATCGGCATCAACACAATTTCGGCCAAAATTTAGTTCAGGGAAAGAGCAAGAGAGACAGAAACAACAGAGGGAAAGAAAAGAAAAAAGGACCTACCAGCGGTGTCCTCCAACTACCAAAGAAAAAAGAAGAAAAGAAGAAAACAAAACGAGGCAATAAGGACAAACAAGAAAAAGGAGAAGGAGAAGGAGGCAGAAGAAAAGGAAAATGAAAAGGGAGAGAGAAAGACAGGGTGGAGAGAGAAAGATTACACAGTTGAACCTGCCTTAACATACATACATACATACATACATACATACATACATACATACATACATACATACA